TCACCTCCAGCTCCTGCCACTGCTTCCGCCAGTGCAGGCACTACCAACACGGCTACCACGGCTGGCCCTGCTCCTGGGGGCCCTGCCCAGCCTCCACCCCCTCAGCCCTCCACCACCGATCTGCAGTTCTCTCAGCTCCTGGGAAACCTGCTGGGCCCCGCAGGCTCCGGGGCCGGCGGACCTGGCCTGGCGTCTCCCACCATCACCGTGGCGATGCCCGGAGTCCCGGCCTTTCTTCAGGGCATGACTGACTTCCTGCAGGTCAGAGTCTGGCTTGCCTGTTGTTGTGCTGTTTCTGCCCTCAGCACGGCAAGGACGGGCTACTCTGTCCACGGCCACAGTGAATATTGGCAGAGGAAGGGGACTTACTGATTGTGAAGCCTCTGTCTTGAAGCCAGGCGGGTGAGGATCGAGGGAGGCAGGGAGGGGGCGCCGTGCTCTGACCTGGCTGCCCGAGTGCACGTTGCTCGTCGCCCAGTCTGACTGATGCCGAGCGCGTGTCTGGAAACATTCTGCTGTGAGGAGGACCGGCCAGAGCGGAGCTCGTTCTGTTTTCTGAACTCCTCCTGCCTTATACTCTGTTAATGCCATCCTGTCTTTGTCCCTGTCTTACCTTCTGTTGTTAATTCTTTCTCTTCGGCAGGCAACACAGACCACCCCTCCACCGCCACCGCCGCCTCCACCGCCACCCCCTGCCCCAGAGCAGCAGGCCGCACCCCCTGCAGGGTCCCCGTCTGGAGGCACGGGGAGTCCCGGAGGCCTGGGTCCTGAGAGCCTGCCTCCAGAGTTCTTTACCTCGGTGGTGCAGGGCGTGCTGAGCTCTCTCCTGGGCTCCCTGGGGGCGCGGGCTGGCAGCAGCGAGAGCATCGCCGCCTTCATCCAGCGCCTGAGTGGCTCCAGCAACATCTTCGAGCCTGGCGCTGATGGGGCCCTTGGTGAGTGAGGGCAGCGGCGAGGCGTGGGAGGCTTGGCTCTGGCTGCTGGCTGCTGGCCCAGTGAGTGGCCAGGGCCTTGTTGGGCTGGGGGTGGACAGGCCAGATGGTGGGGCAATGGCTGACTTCGGTCCTTGTCCCCAGGGTTCTTTGGGGCCCTGCTCTCTCTCCTGTGCCAGAACTTCTCCATGGTGGACGTGGTGATGCTGCTCCATGGGCATTTCCAGCCGCTACAGCGGCTCCAGCCCCAGCTTCGATCCTTCTTCCACCAGCACTACCTGGGTGGCCAGGAGCCCACCCCTGGTAACATCCGGGTAAGTGAAGGCCAGGGGCTCCAGAGTTTGTCCTCCCACTTGTGTCCATAGCAGCAGCCCCAGCCGTGTCCTGGACTTTCTGGGGCAGAGGGGAGTCTTGGGGCCTGAGGCTTGGAAGTAAGCGTGTGGTGTCTCCCCCTAGATGGCGACGCACACGCTCATCGCTGGCCTGGAGGAGTACGTGCGGGAGAGCTTTGTGAGTGCCTCTGTGCCCTGGGCCTGAGCAGGGCAGCTTAGCTTCCCATTGTCCGTCTTCCTCGGCCTTCTCCTCCTCTGGCTTCCTGGTTTGGAGCTGTTTTTGTGTTGTCTCAGTCCTTGGTGCAGGTTCAGCCAGGTGTGGATATTATCCGGACAAACCTAGAGTTTCTGCAGGAGCAGTTCAACAGCATCGCAGCCCATGTGCTGCACTGCACAGGTCAGGGGCCAGCCGTGGGGTGTGCGGGCAGGCAGGGTGTGGTGCTGCGGGGTGCCAGCATCGCGCCTCGTCTCCCCACAGACAGTGGGTTCGGAGCCCGCCTGCTAGAGTTGTGTAACCAAGGCCTGTTTGAATGTCTGGCCCTCAACCTGCACTGCTTGGGGGGACAGCAGATGGAGCTCGCTGCCGTCATCAATGGCCGAATTGTAAGCCCCGCGCAGGCCCCAGCACGAGGTCCCTGGCCTTGTGTCCTGTAGCTTTCTACAGATCTTGGTCCTTTCCAGGCCGCTGCTTGTGGTGGATCAGGTGGGGCACAAAAGCCTCCTGCAGGTTTTGTATTGCAAGTCTGCTTTCTCCCCCAGCGCCGCATGTCACGGGGGGTGAACCCGTCCTTGGTGAGCTGGCTGACCACCATGATGGGGCTGAGGCTACAGGTGGTCCTAGAGCACATGCCTGTGGGCCCCGATGCCATCCTCAGATACGTCCGCAGGGTTGGTGACCCGCCCCAGGTAATGGATCTCGGGCTGAGGGAGGGCTCTGGAGGGAGCTGAGAGGGCTGCTACGTGGTGCGTTCTGTTTAATTTCGCAGCCGCTTTCTGAGGAGCCAATGGAAGTGCAGGGAGCGGAACGAACTTCCCCTGAACCTCAGGTAGGAAGGAGGGGTGTGGGCCAGCGAATGTGAAGAGCAGGGCTGGGGCTGGGATTCAGAACTCTGAACCTGACCTCAACTGCCTACCAGCGGGAGAATGCGTCCCCAGCACCCGGAACAACGGCAGAAGAGGCCATGTCCAGAGGGCCCCCCCCTGCTCCTGAGGGGGGCCCCCGAGAGGACCAGGACGGAGCTTCTGCTGAGACAGAGCCTTGGGCGGCTGCGGTTCCCCCAGTGAGTAGCTGGCAGGGGTGGGGTGGGGTGGGGGGGGCGAGGCAGCTGTGGGAATCACTTGTCGGTCTTTTCCTCCTCAGGAATGGGTCCCTATCATCCAGCAGGACATTCAGAGCCAGCGGAAGGTGAAGCCACAGCCGCCCCTGAGCGATGCCTACCTCAGTGGTATGCCTGCCAAGAGACGCAAGGTTCGTCAGCCTCTTTCCCCGGGAGCCCTCTCTACCAGGTTCCCCATTGTGCTCAGGCTAGTCAGCTAGAGCTGGGAGGATCTCTTCCTAGTTCACCTCTCCTCAGTGAAGCGTTCTCTGGGGACTCGGACTTGCTGTCCACCTCACTGTGTCTGCTAGTATCCTGTCTTAGTGCCTCAGCAGCTGCCCAGTCCCAAGCGCTGAGGGCTCTTGGAAGGTTGACCTCCTGTGGAGCAGCAAGCTCTGGGTCCCACGTGGCTCGACCCACTCGGCCTTCTTATCTAGAAGAACAGGGCAGCATCTTGGGACGCACCGTTTTGGGCCCAAGCAAGTTAGGAAAGCATTGGTGTCTCGCACACAGGGGCTGTTGCCCTCCTCTGCTGGCCTAGACTGGGTTGACTTGGAAAGGGTGAGCTGGATGGTGGCATTGGATCTGACGTCGATCCTCTTTTCCCTCCCAACCCCCTGTCCCCCAGACGATGCAGGGTGAGGGCCCCCAGCTGCTTCTCTCAGAGGCCGTGAGCCGGGCAGCTAAGGCAGCCGGAGCTCGGCCCCTGACGAGCCCTGAGAGCCTGAGCCGGGACCTGGAGGCACCAGAGGTTCAGGAGAGCTACAGGCAGCAGGTGCCCCCACCGGAAGCAGAATAGGGATGGTCTAGCGGGAGGGCTGGGCTAGGGTCCTTCCTGCATTCTTTGGAGCTGAAGTGGGCTGCCACTCCATGTCCCAAGTTTTTCCCCAGGGGCCTCTGGGAAGGCTCAGTGATGCCTCCAGTTGGGCCAGAGTGTCGTGGCTGGTGGGGAGCACCAGCTCCCGAGGGATGGTCTCATGCTTGCTGGGGTCTTGAGGCTCAACTGGCGTCCCTCCAACCCGCGCTTTCTCTCTCCAGCTCCGGTCTGACATACAAAAACGGCTGCAGGAAGACCCCAACTACAGCCCCCAGCGCTTCCCCAATGCCCACCGGGCCTTTGCTGATGACCCCTAGCTCTGTGCTCCATAGCCCTTCCTCACTGGGGGACCCTTCCCCCTCCTCCACAGTATTTAAGAAATAAAAGTCGGATTTTTCTGGCTCCTTTTGTCTCCAACCTGTCTTTTTTTTTTGGTACCAGGGATCAAACTCAGCAAGTTGTACTTGGCAGGCAGGCACTTACGCCACTGAGCGATCACGCCATCCTGTTTGTCTTAGTCTTTTGTGTGAGCCTTTTTTTTTGGGGGGGGGGGCGGACCCAGGGATTGAACTCAGGCCTCTGCGCTTGCCAGGGAAGCACTTAATTCTACTGAGCCATCTCCCCAGTCCCTAATATGAGCTTATTTTAAAATTTTCCAGGGGCCGGTGAGATGGCTCGGTGGTCTAGAGCACCTACTTAGAACAAGCTTAGCAAAACACAGGGACCGCGGTTCAATCCCCCAGTACCACATGCCAGCCCGCCCCGCCCCCTGGTGGGCTGAGCTGGACAGACACACACACAAATAAAAAAATAAAAAAAAAATTTCCAGCAAGCCGGCTGGATGATAGCTGTCTCCCAGCAAGTGTACATGCAAATGTTACCTGCAGGCTCTTTTTGGTACGGGGTCTTGCTACACAGCTTGGACTAGTAGGGACTCTCCTGTCTCAAACTACCCCAGCACTAGTGCTGGGATTAGAGGTATCTGCCACCAAGACTGGAGTCCTGAGGCCGGCATAGCACATGGTACAGGGGGTCAAAGCCAAGCTATGTCCCGCAGACTTCTGATGAGGCTGCATTTTGGTGCAGTTCAGTCCTGACGTGGCAGGTGTTTACACTTAAGTGACAGAAAATACCGGTGTACTTTTGAGCAGCTGCAGACCCAAGTACAGCTGCATTGTTGGATAACGGAATTCAAGTTGAGTGCTGGACCTGGTCCACTTGGGTCAAAAAGCCGTGGAAGTGCCAAGATTTTCATGGGACCAGCCAAAAGTTGACACTGCAGTATGTCCCCTGCTCACCTCCTGAGTGGCAGGGACACGCAAGGGCACGGCCTCACCACCATGCTGCAGGATGCCCATGGAGACCAGCAAGGGCAGGTCCACTCCTGATGTGTACTCAGGAAGCAGCCTGCAGGCAGCTTGTGCCCACTCCCAACCCCAAGACCCAAGAAAATGCTTAGTATCTTCATGTTCTCATTGTTACAACAAACTCAAAATCTTTTTTTAAATTATTTTATTACTCTTTTTTAACAAACGGCCCCAGGGACAGGAGGAGATGAGGAAGGAGGAGGAGGGAAAGTGAGGCTCCAGCCCCCCAAGCCCTCCCCACCCACCCCTCTCCCCCTTATATATTTATAGTCTATATACAAGCCCCGGGGGTGGGGGTGGGGGCAGGGGCCGCCCTCAGCGGGGTGGGGGCAATCCAGGTTCCTTGTTCCCTAGGGACCCAGGCTCCTCTGCCCTCCGGGAAGGGCCCTCCCGAGCAGGCGGGCCTGTCCGCTCCCAAGGCTTCGGCATCCAGCGCAGGGCATCTGGTGGGGAGGCCTACGGGATAGGTATGCGTGCCACGGAAAGGCTGCAGTCAGCAGGAACGCGGGAGCAACTCCCCACCTGAGCGGGGAACAAGGCTTTCTCCCTCACCTGCTGGTAAAGGTCGATGCGCTGGGTGCGGAACACACCACTGTAGCTGGAAGGCGGAGCCTTGAGACGGGAACTGAGACTGGAGAAGGACCTACAGCAGACAGCAGCAGTGTAAGGCCACTGGCCCCAGAGGGCCGAAAAGTGACAGAGTGCACCCCACTCCAGCTCACCTGCCAGCTGGGGGAGTTCGCGACGACCCAGATCCCCCAAGGTTGCTGCTCAGCTTTCTGTAATCCTGGAACGGCTTCAGTTCCACCGGGTGCAGCTAAAGGAGGAGCATTCTTCAGCCTCAGCCTCAGCCTTGCGGAGCCCGAGGGTCCTGGTCCCCACCTTTAGCTCCCACACCAGCCACAGCCTCACCTCTGTGCGCCCCAAGCTTGGGGGGAAGGGCCTGGCAGGTGAAGGCAGCACCCGAGCTGCAGGAGCCGGTGGGGGCCGCACGGCCAGACCAGGAGGCTGCAGAGCAGGGCCCACGGGCAGCAGAGAGAGCGGGGGCAGCGCGGGGGGCGGCGCGGGGGGCAGCGCGCCGAAGTTCACCACAGGTAGCTGGGAGTCCACCACAGGCAGCAGCATCTGTGATGACACCACAAGAGCGTGCCAGGCCAGGGAGGTGGTGTTGGTGGGGTGGGAAAAACAACAGGAAGAAGGGGACACGGAAGAAGGTGGCAGGTACCTGCTGGGTGGGAGCCCCAGAAGGCAAGAAGCCACTCTGTCCACCAGGCTGCAAAGCTGTAGAGTAGAAATCTGAAGGGGTTGGCAGGTCCTGGCGCACCTGTCGGGACAGAGACGATGCCACCTCCACCCATGGCATGCCCACACTCACCCCCACAGCCCACTCGCACCTGAAGCAAAGGTGGGTCCGGCAAAGGGCTGGGGCAGAAAGCCGCGGAGTAGAGGAAGGAAGGCGGAGGGTAGAGAACTCCAGCGGGCAACTTCCCCAGCTCTGTTGCTTGCAGGGCGGAGAGATCCAGAAACTGGCCCTTGAGGGCAATCCCGGAGAGCAGTGCCGCAGGAGGGGCAGGGCCCGGGGGCAGGTAGAGGGGCTGGGGCCTGGCAGGACGTTGGGGGTACAGGTTCAGTGGCTCAGAGGCCATCCTGGGGACCTGAGTTACCCCCCAGGAGCCTCTGCGCTCAGCCCCAGCCTGGACCCAGTCTCACCTGTAGGGGTGCAGCGAGGGTGTACCAGGGCGGAAGCTCCCATTGCTGGCGTGTAACTGCGAGTCGACGGCTCCCGCTGAGACCTGCTAAGACAGGGGTGACAGCTCCAGGGCTCTGCTCGAGAAACTCGCCTACCCCACCAGCCGCCTCTGACAGCGTGCTGGTCACAGCCTGGCAGGAGGCGAGCAGCACAGAAGGTGCCGTTGTCAGGGCACAGGGCCCAAGTGGGGCGCACCTGGGAGCTGGGAGGCCCAGGGCTGCTGTAGAGGACCTCTGGGTGCAGGCGCGGGCCCGAGGAGCTGGGCTCAGGGCCACAGTGCCCAGCACTCACGCTCTTGGCCGGCGGCTCAGCTGTGGTGGGTCCCCCAGGGAGCAGCTCCCAGTCCCGAGGCAGCGGCATGGCCTGGCGGAGGCACCTGTCACACTACCGCGCTCCAGCAACCCCAACCTCAGGCCTGACCCCCACCCCAGGCAGCTTGCTCGCCACTACCTCAGGAGCGGATGCCACGAGCTCTTTCTCTGCTTTTAAGCTGTCTCCCACTGCCAGGCACAGGTCTGAGTCCTGCGATTGAGAGGCAGGAAGCAAACACCATGACGCAAATACGTCACCTGGGTCTGACCCGTGGCCCTTTCCTTCTCCCACCCACCCAGGACAACCCAACTGCTATGCAGACCTTGTCACTTGTGCTCAGCTGGACTGGAGGACCGGGCCGGTGGGAGGGCCGTAGAGGGCCTGGCTCTGGCCCCCTGTCTGACCGCTGTGACCGTTCCGTGCCTATGGGGCCAGGGGGCAGAGGCTGCTCCCGGGGCAGCTCCTGTGTTGGGGAGCACGGCAAAGTAAAGGTGGAGAGAGGAGAGAGAAACCCGACAGGGAACTCCCAAAATTCAATGGCCAAAAGAGAGTAACACAGGGTTCCCTGAAAATGTCCCTGGGGTCCTCACCTTTCTATCCCCATTTTGTGGTGTGGGTGGCCGTCTCCTAGGAAGTTCCGAGGGTTCCGAACCAGGTGGACCCTCACCAGGAACAGCACTCAGGGGTGGGGGACCTCCGGGCCGCTTAGGGGGGCCTTCCGAGGGCCCCTTGAGTCCTCCATCGGGGGAACTTCGCTGACTGCAGGGACCTGATGACACCTGAGAATCCCCACTCAGGTCCACCCCACTGTCAGACTGACTCATCTGAGGAGTGGAGAAGGACGGGTAGGTCAGGGCAGAAAGCACCCCAGTACCTCAGCAATGCGCAGACTCACAGGGCAGTGCCTGTGTGGGAGCAGCTTGCACCCAGCCCACTCACCTCTGTGCCAGCCACATCCTCAAAGGGACTCAGAGGTTCCATCCAGGGCTCCACGGAGCCGGGCCGGTAACCTTTCCGGCTGGCGGCTAGGACAGGGCCAGCAGACAGTGCTGAAGCTTGGCCCACTTGGCCCTCTTGGCCCCCCAGCCCCCACCCTCACCCATGCCCTCACCAGTGTGTAACCGGTCCCAGAGGTGGGGTGTCAGGGCCTCGGTGCTTGCATCTCTGGAGTCTCCCTGAGGGCTTGGGGCCTCGGGCTTGGAGCCCAAGAAGGCAGAGCTGTGAGAAGCAGGCAGAGGCTCCTAAAGGCGAGAAAGGCCCGAGGCCAGCCATGAAGCCAGGCACTGGGTAATGTGGAGTGGGACAGAGGCTTTGGGGATGGCACTGAGGGCCAACAAGAAAACCCATGGTGACATGACACCAAAGCAGCAGCAGAGTGGAAGCCCAGGCAATGCAGGACAGGGCCTTCTGCAGGGAAGGAGCGCTTCTGGCCCTCACCTCTTGTAGCAGCTCCGGTTTCCGAGGAGGCCGCTCCCGCTCCCGCCACTTGTGGGGAAAAGGACGAACCGGGGCTGAGTCCGGGGCAGCCCCGCCTGCCTCCCTCACCACTTGGCCAGGTACGGGCTCTTCAAAGCGGGGCTCTGGGAAGAAGAATGGAGCATCAGCCCTCCTGCCTGCTCGCTGCAGCCCTGCTGCAGACCCTGGCCAGCCCAGCTCACCTGAGCTGCTGCCCCCTGGGGGCCCTGGAGGGTCGAACTGGGTGGGAGGCCGGGGAGCCGAGCTCTGAGGGGCCTGAGGCAGCCCAGATTTGGGCCTCGGGTGACCCCCTGGTGCTGCCACACTCCCCTGGCGGCTGCTCAGCTGGGCCAGGGCCTGTTGGATGCCAGCAGGGTTGCTATGGATAACTTGGTCCAGACGGAAGACAGCAGAGCTGCTGGGCGGCGGGGGAGGCAGGGGTAGCCCCGGGGGTCGCTCCTCTGTGGGGCGGCTGCAGGGAGGACAGTGCATCAGCACAGAGACGCTGGGCTTTGGTCACGTGCTCTGCCTGCTTGACAGGTTTGTGCTTAGGGGTTCCATGCTCCACACCGCTGTGGGGTAGGAAGCAAGGGCGGAGATCCCACTGACTGCTTCCCACGTGGCTGCCAGCAAAGCCCCCGTACCCAGGCAGCCCACCACCCGATCCCCGGGCCCTGTGAACCACAGGGACGGACAAAGCCCCAAGTCTCACCCACCTCCGGTTCTTGGGTGAGGGCCAACTCCTCTTGTCCCCTCTTCCTGGTCCAGTCCTTGTACCAGGACCTCCGCCACTGCCGCCAGCCTTGCTGCCGGGGCCTGGGCGCCTGTTCTGGCGGTCTGTGCCAGGCCTCTGACTGGAAAAGCTTCGCTTGCTCAGGTCCTTGGCTCGCTGACTCAGGTCTCCACGAGACATGGGTGAGAGGCCTGGCCCTGGGGCACCTGCACCACCGCCAGGGCCCCCTACAGCCTTTGGAGGCAGAAGCGCCGGCGGGGGGGCCTCCTTGTCTCCCCTGCGCTCACTGGTGAAGTCACTGCTCTCTGATGCAGTCTCCCACTCCTCATTGGCTTGATCAGAGTTCTGGTTAGACAGATCAGGAGACTTGGCAGCTGCCCGGCGAGGTGGTTGGGGCCCCGCGACGGTCACCAAAGGCTCCTCAGGTCCAGGAGCAGAGGCTGGCAGGGCCAGGGGGCAGGGCTTGCCCTCGACACCCCGAGCAGCGTTCTCCCGCTCCTGCTTCAGCCTCCGGAACCGAGGCGGCTTGTCTTGCTGCTGAGCTCGGCCGTGCCGCCGCCGGCGGGGCCGCTCCCCATCTTCCACAGCACCCAAGCTGCCACTTCCACGGGCCATGGGAGACAGAGGCCCTGAGACCAGCTTCTCCTTCAAAGGCTCCTTACTGGGGGGCAGAGGGCCCACTGGAGGCTTCTTTGGAACCAGGGACTTGCCTGGAGGGCTCCAGCCCGGGCAGGTGGGAGGTGGGCGCCCGCCGCCCCGGCCCCGGCGCGATGGCACCCCTCTTGGTGTGAAGACACGGCCACCCCGGGCAGCAGGAAAGCGGGCTGGAGCTGGTGAAGGCAGTGTGCCCAGGAGGGGTGGGCCAAGGGGGCCTGGGCCAAGGGTACCCTCCTTGGGTGGGGGCGCCTCCTTGTCTGAGGGGGCCAGGTCACTCTCATGTGTTTCACTGCCTGTCTCTGAGCCTCGCTGCCGGCGCCGCTTGGGGATCTCCTCATACTCTGAGCCCTCACTTCGGGTCTCACTGGCAGTGCGACCTCGGGGTGCAGAAGGGTGGCTCGGTCCCCCTGCGCCCCCTCCACGTCCATCATCCCCTCGGAACTCCCGGTAACTGCGGAATTCACGGCTTCGGGCTCCCCGTCCCCGCCCCCCGTAAGTCCCCCGAAAACCTCTCCCTCTGGCAAAATACTCTCCTCGGCCCCGGCCACGGCAAGAGGTGGGACCCATTCTTTCGTAAGAATAATCCCTGCGAAGCCGGGGTGTGGGAGACAGGTTCCCACTGGGCAGGGGCTCCTTGGGCCCCATTCTGCCTTTGGCCATCTTGAGTGCATCTGGCTTTGGGGCCTTGGGTGTCTCGTCCCCCTGTTCCAGAGGTTTAGAAGGCACCTCTTCGACTTTTACAGGGGGTAGTGGCTTCTTGATAGGCCCAGCCCGGCGGGGAGGGGCGCCTGGCTCCTCTGGGGGTATTCCACGGCGACTGCTCCCCGGGCGGGGACCCCAGCGTGTCTCCGTGCGATTCTCTCTGCGTGGTGGTGGGGGGCCCTGGCACCCAATACCACGAGTGGGCTTGCGGCCCGCTTCGGGCAATGGTGGTGGTGTGGTCTCTTCCTTGGTGAGCTCCTTCTTGGATGGCGGAGCCGGTATCTTGGCAGCCTCTTCACTGCTTGGCGGCCAGGGGAGTGGACGGGCCCCTGGGGGAGCTGGCTCCTCCAGGGGAAATCGAGACAGGGGAGGCCCCGGGGTACCGTTCTCTGGAAAGCCGGGATAACTGGCCAGGTAGGGTGCGGGGGGAGGCACTGGAGGGGTCTCACTCCTGAAGACAAGAGACAGAACAGAGCAGAAGTGAACATCCAGGCACCCAGCTAATCCTCTCCCCTGTACAGTCTTTAAGACCCTCACACCCACCCCAGTCTCACCGAAGCCCCTTGTCCTCTTCATCTGCTGTCTGGCGCAGTGGTGAGGTGAGCGGGCGCGGGTCCGCAGGTGGGGTGGCAAACATGTCCCCCACCCAGGCCAACTTCGGATCTACTGGTGGGGTTCCTCGTTCCCGTAAGAGAGGGGGTGCGTGGCGCTCAAACGGCTCTGAGCTGGAGCCCCCACTGTCTGAGCGCTCCCTAGGAACTAGGCCTGAGAAAAGAGTAGGAAAGCCATCCTTTCAGGGTCACGGTCCCCTTCCCACCCGCTGCTCCTTGGCGCGCAGCTCCGGATTCCAGCAAAGCCAGACTTCGCCTGCTGTTATAAGACAGGGTCACCTGCTCGGCTCTCCTAGGATGAGGAATGCTGCCCTGGCCGACTGAGGAGCGCCACTGCTTCCCCACGCCTGAGCTCACACACAACAAACTGTCCATGGTGCGTGGTGTATCTCCCACCCAACTAGTAATTCGTCACCTGGCCTCATGGCCTCTCACCAGAGGGGTGCACACCAGGAGGGTAGAAGTCCAGGGGAGGCCGGCCTTGGAGCAGCCGGGGGTCCACGTAAGGCGGGATCATCATCCAGCGGGGATCAAAGTTCATGGGAGTCATGGGTGGGGGTCGGCCCAGAGCACCAGGGTACAGGGCCTTGGGAGGGGGTGGCGCTGCCTGTGGAGCTGGCACAGCCCCCAGAGTCACTGGCTGAGGTGGTGACGGGGGCACTGGGGCAGGAGGCGCGGAGCCCTGCTGCTGCTGCTGCTGCTGCCACTGCTGCTGCTGCTGCTTCAGGAGCTGCTCCTGTACAAGGACCGAGACGGGGTGAGCAGCTTTCAGAGCTGAACAACCGCATGCTTAGCACCGAGCCTGGCCCAGGCAAGCTGCACAGCAGCGGAGTCCTGAGGGGAAGAGCCCGTGCCACGCACACCACCAGACAGTGCACTGAGGAGGCCACCCAAGGAAGCCACTGTCTCACCTGCTGCTGCCGCTGGAAACGAGGTGGCAACGACTTCTGATATTTGGGGTAGCCCAACCCCTGGCTGGGGGGCTGCCGGGTAGGTCCTACCCCATCACTCTTGGGCTCCACTTTTGGAGTCGGGGGAGTACAAGGTGAAGGAACCTCTTCTGGCAGCTCAGGCCCTTCTTTTGAAGGCAGCTGGGGTTCCACTATATTGAGAAACAGTAACATAGTCCGCCAAGACACCCCAAGAATTCTAGCCCTCTCTCGTAGCACATTTCCCAGACACTGAGATGTCATGTCCAGCTGACCACACTGCACTGAAGTCCTTGGTGCCTAAAATTAACTCAACAGTCAATGGACAGCACTGATGCCAAGTTACTAGGAAACTCCCAGGACAGCACCTTTGAAGTCTGGTTCTACCCTAGGCCTTGAAGTGTCTCTCCAACCCGAATCCCTTTGGCGCTAGGGATGGGACCCAACGCCTTCACACCAAACTATCACCTCTATCCCCTTTTATTTTTCAGACAGGGTCTCGCTAAATTGTCCAGGCTGGGTTTGAACTAGTGATCCTCCCACCTCAACCTCCCTACAGGTGTGCGCCACCACAGACGGCTTAGAAATGGTTTTAGAACCTTCCCTCCTTCTGTCAGAACTCACATAATGATGGGACCCTTTCCCCTACCACCAAGAATCCAACGAACCAAAGTGCCTTCAGCCAGGCGTGGTGGCACACGCCTGTAGTCCCAGCACTCGGGAGGCTGAGGCAGGAGGCTCATCATGAGTTGGAGGCCAGCCTGGGCTATAGTAAATCCAGGCCAGCCTGAACTACATAGCGAGACCCTGTCTCAAAAAAACAAAAAGCAAAGTAAGTGCCTTCTACTTCATTTACTCCCACCCTAACCATCACAGTGAGCAGCGTTCTGACACTTCCCACCCACCCTTCCCCTACCTGGGCTGGCTTCGCAGCTGCCACTGCTGGCGCCGCTGGTAGTGCCACCACTGCTCTTGGGAACGGGAGCCGGGGCCATGCCTGGGCTGGGAGTGGGCTGGGTGGGGGGCGCCTGTGCCGGCTCCTCAGGTTCTTTCTCAGGCACCGGGGTGGGGGCAGGTGCTGGCGGTGTGGGGAGCTCCTTGGGAACTGCAGGTGGTGTGAGGGGGACAGTGCTAGCAGCAGCAGCAGCAGCAGCAGGCAGGACGGCAGGCTCTGCCTTGAGCCGCTTGTCAGGAGCCCCAAACTTCTCATCCAGACGCTTGAGTTTCTCAGCACAGGCAGCCCGGCGCTCCTCCTGCATGCGCCGCTCCTCCTCCTCACGGCGCCGCCGGGCCCGCTCCACAGCCAGGGAGATCTCAGAAGAAGACTGCTTTCGACGCTGGCGCCAGGCCTCATCCTCATCCTCGGGTGCAGGCGGCTTGCAGGGCGGAGCCCCGCGGTCCTGTAAGGGGCAGAACCCCGCAGGCCAGGTCCATCAGTCACCAGGCTTTCTACCACGTCCTCCACAGAACAGCCACTGCCTCTAGCTAGGCGGGGAAGGACTGGACCTGGGGTGATGGCCTCTCGGGGGGACAGAGCTCATCCTCATCTCTTCTTCCTCCCTCCTTTGGGACCCCAGGTCTTCTTATTCACCCTCACCAGCACCCCAACTTTCATCCCAGACTCCCTGAATACGAAGGACATTCCCAAGCTTTCCAGACACAGGACACAGCCCTCCCTAGGTTCATGGACCTTAGCCCTCCCTCTGCTCCTGAGTTACCCCTCCCACTAGAGGCCCCCTCCCCTCACGCAGACACTCACTGGGTAGTCCCCAGGCGGGCCCCAGTTCCCGGCGGGGCCCCGGTGAGGTGGGGGTGGGGGAGGCTTTGGGGCAGGAGGCCCCAGCTCTGTCTCTGGAGGCCGAGAGGTCTCTGCCCAGGCCGTCTTGGGAGGGGGCGGCTCGCTGCCAGGGGAGGTGCCCTTTTTGCCATCTGCTTCAGGGGGCCGTTCCTCACCAGCAGCGGGTTGGGAGTCCTTGCTGTGAACAGATCAACAGTGGGATTAAGCTCAGCCCCAACCCACTCCTGTCCCTCCCCACAAGACAATGAGGCCCTCTGCCCAGCCCCAACGCACCGGCCCTCAGCTCCCTCCTCCTCAGAGTCTCGCCCATCTTCCTCATCGCTGAACTTGAGTTTTTCAGTGTAGTCGACCTCCTCATGGGCCCCTGAGGGAAAAAGCAGGAGCTGAGACCCACACTTCTGGCCCCTGAGTCCCGGATGTCCCTCTACAGAACAGTGTCCCTGCATGCCCCTCCTGCACCAGTCCAGATCTGCTATGCCTGTCATTCTTGCTCCTGTCCCGCTGGGCCTTGGTTTCCTCCACAGATCTATCCTGCCTTCCAACAGCCACCTTTCCCACAAGCAGTTTCCACTTCTTTCTCTGGACTTTGCCTTTCAAGATCCAACTGTATCCACTCACCTGCCCAGCCGTCATCATTCTCCTGGTCCAACTGGTCAAACTCTTTGAGATTATCCTCTTTTAGAATAGAAGGCCGACCCACAGGCTCTACAAGGCGCATTGGTGGCCCTGAGCCCCGAGGACCTGCCACACGGGGGAAACGGCTGTATATGTGGGGGACAGAAAGAAGATGGCATGCTGTACAACCACATATAAAACTGAGCCTCCTGGCTAAACCATTTCCTCCCTCAGTAGGCTTCTCCTGCTTCCACCCACAAACCCAAACCTAGATTGCTCACCTGGGCCCATCAGGAGTGGGGTATCTGTAAGGCCCCTGGGGTCCATAGGGCGGAGGGAACGGGAGATATGGGGGATACATCTGCAAAATGGCCCAACAAAAGCTGTTTAGAAGGGCCCTCCCACAGCCCGCCAGCCTTCTGCCTTGCTAATGCCCTCCCATCCTCCTCCTGTCTCACAGGTGTCTGCTTCTTAACCGCACCCCGCCTCCCCCAAATACTAAGTCTTGCTGGCTATGTTAGCGTCTGGTGCAACCATGCCAAGATAAACCATCCAAACTCACGAAGGGCGGCATCATCCCGCGATAAGGAGGGAACTGGGGTGGGCCTGAAGGCTGCAGTGCCCCCCGGGGATCGTGACCATGATGAAGTTTGGAGTCCGGGCCCTCCAGCTCATCAGGGCCACGCCCACCTCCGTCCCTCCAGGTTGTAGAATCTGTATTTTGGAAAAGAGAGTGGAAAGAGGGAGAGAGTAATGATTCAGGCACAAGAGAAAGTGACTGCAAGGGCCTCTGAGACGCGACAGCCAGCATCCGAGGCAGCCACTCACTTTGGGGGCGGAGGCTTGGTCCTGGCCCAGACGACTGCTCGGCAGACTCCCTTTCCTTGGCAGCCTTGTCCTGGTCGCCAGCCGCCTGCAGGGTCGGAAATTCCTCTCGAGAGAATCGTGACAGTAGGTTTGATGCCCTTCCACCTGTTGGAACAAGGATGAAGAAGGGACAGCCACACGTCCCAGGGACGTGCCATAAAAACCAAGGCTGACAGGCACAGTCTGCAGGGCCCTGCTGAGACTCACCCCAGCAGTGAGTGAAAGAGTCTAGTCCCCAAGAGAAAAGGACAATTCCGGGACTCCCTCCCAGAGTGGAACTGAATGTGGGGGCCTAGGTTCAGCCAAAGCAGATCAGGGACCCTCAGGGCAGCCCAGCCTCCAGCGTAACGCAGACTGCTCACAGAGCTGCGCTCACCATCTCCGTGTGCTCCATGGGTGACGCTGGCCTGCGCCCAGGACTTTACCCCGCTTGGAGCCGAAGGAGTGTTCTGGGGAGAGAGAATAAATGGTGAGGTGGGAGGGGCTGCCCTCGCCCTCCCCGACCCTCCAGCTCTCCAAGTACCTCGGGGGCTGTTGGGGGTCGCTTCACTTGGCTGGGGGCAGGCGTCTGTGAAGCCGGCAGCGGCTGCAACTCCGGCGGCTGAGCAGTTGAGGCATCGGAACTGTGGAAGTGCGGAATGGGACCGGTCACAAGGGGACGTGAGGTGCCGCCCTAATTCTCCAACTGGCAGCACGCAGGGCCTGACCCCAGGTCCACCACTACGTTCACCAACGTAAGACCACGCTTCGTGTTTTTTCGTGTTCTCCCTCAAACCTCAAGGAAAACTAAAGTGCCATTTCTCAGTCATCTAACAGGAAGCCTGGAGTAGGGCCATAAGGAGCCTCCCTCTTTATCGCTACCTTGACACAGAGGCTTGCGACTGGGCCAGACCAAGCCCCATTCACCCTGAAGTACAAAGTAAAACTTCTGATGGCTCTAGGTTTCCCAGGCCTCTGTCTACCTCTTGGGGTCGGACTGCTCCTGTTTGCTTGCCCATCCTGTTCCGTCTTTCGGGACTAGTGAGACATTGGGGTCATTGCCTTTGTTCTCAGCTTTCAGGCTTGGAAGGTTGGCTGGGGGTGGCATACGCCGGGCAATGGCAACTTTCCCGAGACTCTGTAGGCCATGGCGAGGGGCAACTGAAGAAAGGTGGAAAGAGGGTCAAAAGTCGCCTCACACAGGAGATCTAACAGCCTCCCTCCCCACACCCACTTACACATCCTCGATGACCTACTATCCACTTACTCCCAAGTTTTCAGAAGCCACCCTTCCCTTCTGTAACCATCCTGGAAATCCCTACTGCAAAGGCCCAAGTATACATCTATTACATTTGTCGCTTTTATGTGAGATGGTTGATCTGGAGCCTGCAAGGAGCAGGCTGGCCCAGATGTCACCAAATCCACAATGTTTCTGCCTCCAATTCTTACGTGTCCAAAGACAAGGAACCAAGACACGCCTTTGTAGGAGGTACATGGTCGCCCCAGAGCCCCCCAGCTGCGGGAAGCCTGCAGGTAGGAGTGGGAGGGCTCTGGTGCTGCTCTGGCCGGCAGCCTCTACAGCAGCTGCTCTCCTGCACGGAGCTCTACAGTGGACACCCATCAAGCCTCCCCCACATCAGAAACATCTTGCAGTGCCCTCACCAGCAGGTTTCTGGATCTCTAAGGACTTGCCCTTATACGTATCAAACAGGTTGAGCGAGGAATACTTCTTTCCATCCTTCCCCTTGGCAGTCGGCCCCGAGCGATCGGACATTGCGCTGGAAGCTCATTGAGTACGTTGGGTCCTGCAGGCACCTCCCCCGAAACGTGCCGGAGCCTGTGGGCCAGACAGCAGCATGAGTCTCCGCGGCCTCCACAGCCCCAACAGGAGCCCACAAGCTCCCTCCCACTCTCATCAGGGGCCCGACTCATGGCCCTTCAGGGTTCTTTCCCCCAGCCTATATAAACTTTCCTGGCTTCCTTAAACAACGACAATCTATTCAGTATACAAATGCCACATTCCCTCTTTCCATCGGACACTTTTTGTCAAGAAAAAATAAATGGGTAAAAACCTAATATCCTTCCAGTGTAAACACTCTTGTATTTGTGCCAATGTAGAAAGGGTAACAGCCTCTTCATTACTCCCAGAATATTCTCCCCTCGCCAAAATAATCTTAGAGGCCCACAATAAACCAGGACGAGCAAGTCCAAACCCCAGAGAAAACCAGAGCGAAGCCTACAACTCCATCATAGAAGACCAACTTATTACACCCGTGCGTTAATCACGCCCCTGGGGCCTGGGCCCCAGTTCCCTTCCTGGCAGCCCTAAGTCTCATCTGGGGAGTTTTGCAGGAAGGTATGTTGGGAGTTCAAGGATTTTATGAGCTTTCTCCACCACACTGGGAGCTGGTGTCAGGGAAATCCTCGCAAACAGGGCCTGTACATGCGTCCAGGCCACAAAACTCCAAGTATTTTCCAGACCCCATCTCTTCCTACATTTGCCTCCATCACGACTCCTAGGAATAATCCTGTCTCCAGAAGCAAACAGCTAAGAAAAACAAAGGCCCACGGAGCTATCCGGAGAACATCCTGTAACCATGGGCTAGCTACTAACTTTCATTTTCCTATCATTAAAAACCTCCATGAGCAGTCACATCTTTGCCTAGCAGGCCCTGCTCCCCAAGCAGGCCGACCTCCACCCTCCCTACAGTCTATGATGACCAGCTATCATTTGTGGGTGGTCGTAGTGTAAAAAGAAAGCGACCGGAGATGGCGAGAAGAGACCAGGCAGGCCCAGGATGGAAGCCCAAAGCTGGGAGGCAGAACTTCACGACTGGAGATGTGAGGACGGACTGCTGGACTGCTTTGTAGGTACTTAAGAAAACCAATCTAGCAAAAGAAACGTGCTTAGAAAAAGATAACAAAATCGTGCAACGAGCAGACTAAGACGAGAGCATGAAAGCAGATGGGAACAGTACGTGAAACCAGGAAAGGCTGTGCGAGGAGAAGGGAGGCAACGTCAGGAGACCGGGGAGAGGCTGGGCGGTAGCGCAGGGGCAGCGCGCTCGCAGGGCAAGCTCAAGGCCCTGGGTTCAAGCCCCACGACCACAAAAAGGGGGGAATGAAAGAAAGAAAAAGGGACAAGGCGAATGGAAACATGAAACGGCAGAGAAGGTACCGATGAATGTGGGAAAAGGCAAGGAAGAATGTGGAAGGCAAGGATGCGGGATAATGCACGGTCCAGAGGCCTCGACGCGGAGGGGAGCCCGGGAGGGACACCGGGGCGCGGGGTCCCGGCACCGGGCAAAGAAACCCTCCAAGGGGAGGGAGGTCCGGCGGGCGCGGCCCACCCCAGGGCGCCAGGGCGCGGGCCGACAGATGGCCGCGAGGGTCCTGGAGCGCCGAGGAGGGTGGGGCGTTACAGACCGAGGAGCGGGGGTCGCTCCCCGAAGCCACAACAGTGGGTGGTACCGACAGCCCTGAGCGAGGGGCTGGCAGTGCGGGCATCCAAGGAGAGGTACCGGAGGGGGAGGGGCGGGCAGGCCGGCAGCAGGAGGACAAAATGGCGGCGACTAATGGCAGCTTCTCCTCCCCCTCCCCGGCCCGCCGCCGCCGCCGCCGCCGCCGCCGCCGCCACCACCGCACCACCGCCGCCGCCGCCGCCGCCGCTCAGCGCTGGAAAAGGGCGTCAGCACTCAGTTCGCCCAGACTCACCTGGCCGGGTGCGCGAGGGTCTGGGACCCGGGTTTAGCGGCTCCCCGGGGCGGGATGGCGGTGGGGCGGGGGCGGATGGCGGCGGATGGCGCCGGGTTCGGCTCCTCCCGTCTCCCTCGCTCACTCCGCGACTAGGCTCCGACTAACGGCCCATCCGGGCAACCGCCGCCCCCGGGAGTGCCCCCCCACTCCCGCCTCCCTCCGCGGCTGGGCACGCCCCCTACTTTACATAAAGGGCGGGGCCTTCTAGCTCACCCCTTACTTCCAAGGCTGTCCTTATTTTTTAAAAAAGTGTGCGGCGCTTTTAGGGGTTATTTACATAAAGAGGAGGGAGTTACAGACGGTAAGACACTGATTGGCTGAGGGGAATAGCTCCCGGCGTCGGCCGTTGAAACGTATACAGGGGGGCGAGAATGCGACGCCGGTCGGCCGAGTGGTTGGGGCGCACAATTTATACGAGGAATAGTGGGAGTAAGAGGCGGGGCGTACGTCGTGCGTCCGTGGAAAAAGGGAGTGGAAAGACGTAAGGACGCCCGACAGTGGAAGAAAGATACAAGGCCAGAGGTGTTTTCTGCGGAGACGGAAGGGCCGCGGTGGGCCCACGGCGGCTTCAGCAGAGGGTGGAGTTCACCTAGACCCCGGAAGAGCCCACGGTCACGTGTCCCTTCGCGAGGGGTTACGGCACCGGGGAGGCGGGGCCTGTCGTTTGTTAAATTTTGTCACACAAATGAAGTGACTAGAGAGACCAATCCGAGGGTCCGGAGAAGCACAGGCGTTCTTTGGACAAGCTCTTATTTGCATAATGTATGCAAATAATTTGAACAAAGATAGGCTCAGAATAATCTTTCTCAAGACACCGGCAACCGGTGACTAAGCGGACATTCAATTTCTTAACCGGTAATTTTTATGAGTAGATTTTTACATTTGAGATTATTGGCAATTTGTATTCTTTCAACAAGAGGTTTCATTTTACAAAAGGCAAGTACTATTTTCTCCTCTTTGTCCTTTACTACTTGATTCTAAAAGCTGCTCTCCGTGAGTTATAAGAAATTAAGATAGGTAGAAAGGAGACAAGGGAGATCATGATTTTAAAATTGTACTTTTGAGAAAAGCTAGTTTCAGGACACAAAAGTTTTTCAAGCCTTTCTTCCTCCCGGGAAAACACAAACATCTGTCTGACTCTTACCAGTGTCCATTAACTACACAGTAAACACAGGGCATGGTGGCACTCGACTGTAATCCTAGCCCTTGGGAGGCTGAAGTAGGAGGCATTGTGAGTGGGCTGCATAGTGAGTTCAAGGCCAGTTTGAACTACATAGTGGGACCCTGTCTCAAATCGAAATTTTTAAATAGAAAGATGGGCAAAACAAGCCGCTGGGCACAGTGGTGAGCCAGCACTCTGGGAGGCTGAGGCAGGAGGATTGCAAGTTTGAGTTCAGCCTGGGCAGTTTAGTGAGTTAGCAAGACCCTGGCTCAAAAATAAAAATGGGGGTATGGCATGCTCCTGTAATCCCAGTACTTGAGAAGCCAAGATAGGCTTGCAACAAACTTGAGGCCAGTTTGAGCCACAGTTAAAAGACTAGCCTGAGCTACATAGCAGGACCCTGTCTCATAAAAAGAGAAAAAAAATAAAGGACTGGGAATGTGGCTCAGTGTGAAGGCCCTAGATTCACTCCAGCATTGCCCAATAAACAAAACGCAACGCACTTGTAAACTGGGCTGTGGGCAAGTGATTTGCACCTGTAAATTGTTCTTGCCACAGGCCATCCTGAAAGGAGGCTGCAGATGAGTGGGCAGCAGATCTCAACTTGCCACCTGGGAAAATGGTTTGCACTCCGGTGGGCCCCCAACAGGGGACCTGAGCGACACCAGGAGTCACACCCTGGCTCCCCATCCTGCAAACCAGGCTTCACAGCTCGGTGTCTGACTGCTCACTCCTAAGCCCCGCACTCCCCTGTGTGCCATTTTTCTGCTAAATAAGTCTTGTCTTTGCTCCCTACTGGTATACCTGAGAATTTTTTCTGTGACAAGAATCAACAAACTATGAGTGGGGTGAGCTGAAGCTCCAGTCCTTGGGAAGCTGCCCCAGAACCCATCTGGTAGTATCAGATCTACCCATTGACACCACCCGATGACTATTTTACTTACTTTATCTTTTGGTTTATTTATTTAGGGGGGAGACGAGATCTTGCTCTGTAGTTGAGGCTAGGTTCACCTCCCTGAGACCAATCCTGCCTCTGCCTTCTGAGTGCTGGGATTACAGGTGTGTGTCACCACACCATGCCATCATATAATTCTTAAGTTGTCAGGCCTTACATTGGATTCCAGTTCTTTCATCCAAATGAGTTTAGATAAAAGCTTCAGAGAAGGGCTGGGGGTGTAACCATAGTAGAACACTTGCCCAACATATGCGCGACTCTAAATGGGTCTGCAGCACTGACGAAAAAGAAAGGAAGGAGGAATAAAGACTCTGAGCGATTTGTTAAAAACAGAAAGCTCACTGGGTTGGAGACTGTTGGTTCAACTGAATCTCTACTGCTTAAAGAGGCTACTGGGGTGTGGTGGCACATTCCTGTAATCCCAGCACCAGGGAGACTGAGGCAGATCACTGTGACTTTACCAGCCTGGGCTGCAAGATGTGTTCAAGGCCAACCTGAACTGCATAATGAAACCCTCACTTAAAAAGACGAAAAGCTACTTGGTGGTGTAGTGATAAGAGAAAAATTTCCTTCCTAGCTAGACATGATGGTGCATGCGTATAATCCTCACATTCAGGGAAGCTCTGGCAGAGGGATTGAAGATTGTCTGTCTTTCTTTCTTTTGCCTTTTTTCAGGCAGGATTTCACTCTCACTATGCAGGTGAAGCTGGCTTCAATTTCTTTGTAGTCCAAGTGGGCCTTGAACTCACAGTGATCCTCCTTCCTCTGCCTCCTGAGTGCTGGGATTACGACGTGTGCCGCAGTGTCTGCCTGGCTGTAGAATTACAAGTTTAAATCCAGCCTGGGCGATACAGGAATTTAGCAAGACTCTATCTCAAAATAGCAAATAAAAAGGGTGGGAAATCAAGCTATGAGCAAAGGCCCTAGGTTCAATACCCCAAACAAAACAAAGACAAAATCCTACTTCAATTTCTTGACATCGGTATTGTCTTATACTTGTAGAATCTACCTTAGTGCATGGAACCACCGGCTGTAGACACAGAATTGGGGATGGATGGTTTAATTGGGAAAATCTTAGCTGCTTTCCCCTCAAAGACATTTCGGGGCTGGTGAGATGGCTCAGTGGTCTGGGGCACCTACTTGGAACAAGCTTATCAAAGCACAGGGACCGCGGTTCGATCCCCAGCACCACATGCCGGCCAGCCCCGCCCCCTGGTGGGCTGAGCTGGACACACACACACACACACATAAATAAAAATTAAAAAAAAACATTTCTTCCAAAATCTAGGGGCAAATCCTCCAAATAAAACCAAGTTGACATCTGGAAGGGAAAGAAAATTTATTTAATTTAGCTAACTCTGGCTCACAATTTTGTCTTTTTTTTTTCCATGTTGGGGTCCTTAGAAGCCCTTTAATCCCACCAGGCGCGCTCTCTCGCTCTCTCTCTCTCTCTCTCTCTCTCTCTCTCTCTCTCTCTCTCTCTC